TGCTGCCCTGCCTCTGCCCCTGCCCCTGCTCCTGCTCCTGCTCCTGCTCCTGCCCCTGCCCCTGTCCCTGTCTCTGCCCTTGTCCCTGTCCCTGCTCCTGTCTCTGCCCCTGCCCCTGTCACTGCCCCTGTCCCTGCCGCTGCCCCCGTCTGTCCGGCCAGTCACACCTCTGTCGGTGTCTGTCCTGTTCCTCTGTCGGTGCTCAGAGAAGAGCAGAGCTGAGGAGATTCTACTGTGGACTCTGAGGGAAGAGAGAGGGAACAGTGACATCTCCTGGTCATTTAGTCAAACTACTTTCCGAAAAAGAAATCTTTCGGATCAATCTTCAAGAAATTGTTTTATTTGCGTCATAAAGAAACGTGATGTTTAAATTTAAACTGTTAATCTTTGAAATGTAATAATAATTATAATAATAATAATAATTGTTGTTGTTGTTGTTGTTGTTTTATTGTATCACCGACTGTTGTGCTAACATTAGTTACAATGACCAGCCTAACCTAGTGGTTTATCAAATGGTTGATCACGTGGTAACTCTGGTGACTGTATCTTTACACAACTTCTGGTGTCACATGGGCCTCGTCGTCTGAATGACTGGGAGTGTTGTTCACTTCACCTCAGCACTGAGAGTCTTCCAGTTCCTGTTTTGCAGCACACACACACACACACACTAACTGTTCAGTCAGAGGATGTTCTGTTGAAAAGTGCAGTCATCTCAGGATGTTTCCCTTCACTGCATCTGAACTGGTCAGATATGGGAGTGGACGCTGATCACTGCAGGGTAAGAGTGTGTGTGTGTGTGTGACCTGGAGTTTGAGGACCAGCAGGTTTGATGGTCCAGTAAACCTCTGGTCTGGTTACATGATCACATTAATTAGTTAGTTGTTAACATTCATCTGTACTGCTGATTGGTGGAAGGCCCGTCACATGACCCGACCAAATCTGACCTGGTCTGCTCTTTGATATTCTGTAATCTGAGTTGAGCTCTAATCCTGTGGACACACAGTGTGTCAGTGTGACTGCTGATGTCTGTCAGCCTGGTTTCCTGTTCCTCTTCTGTTGTTCCAGTCAGTCAGGCAGGCAGTCAGTCGGTCAGTCAGGCAGTCGGTCAGTCGGTCGGTCAGTCAGTCAGTCAGGCAGTCAGTCAGTCGGTCAGTCAGTCAGTCGGTCTGTCAGTCAGACAGTCAGTCAGTCAGTCAGTCGGTCTGTCAGTCAGTCAG